CCGCGCATGGGTTTCTCTCTCAAGTATTTCAGATGTTTCATGGAAGTGGAACATGGCCCAAAGAATACGACTTCCCTTTTCATTGGGCTGGATGGTCCACTTCTCTATCATTCTCTATCTATATGGGTACTTTTTGACAACCCAAATAGGAGGGACGACCATACCCCGCCAGCGCTTCCGACTTTGGAGGCTTTTGCGCAATGAACACCGGCGTTTACTCCACAACGGGCTCCACGGGTCGTTTGGATCTGTTTTGGATCCCCACCGCGTCGCGTGGACGAATCATCCTATACGGCGATTCTCACAAGGTCCATTTGCTCTTAGTTTCATTTCGTGACCAGTCCAAGATTTGAGAAGGCTTGAAACCGAAAGATATTCAGAACGACATGGGGTTCCTTGTTCTTTATGTCTTCACAGCGCAGGAGCATCAACAGGGTCGCCTCGAGGGACCGGCCCAAGGCAGATGCAGCTGCAGCGGAACGTCCCACAGCTGCCAAACGGGTCTCCCAGCGCTCGTCTGCCTGCCATGGGTTGGGCACGGGTGACGAAGACCCCCAGTATACAAATTAGTCACTCCAGTCTATAAATCCACTACCGGTATCCCTAGTCACCCAAGTTTTTCTGAAAAGTATGATCAGAAAGGAAGGAGGCCCCAGTTTCTACCCATCCTGGCCACAGAAAGAGAGAGATGGATGTAACTCTAATCTTGCCAGGATTTCGTGCAGATTCCTCTAGGTTCTCACTTGAAGTCTCCTGGAGAAATTTGGAGTCGCATCCAACAATACAAATTAGAACTCCCAACCAGAAGAGATGATAATGTAAAATTGATTATTTCCATTATAATGTATATTGCTATAATTTGCTACAATATACTATATTGTACGGTAATAACATATTTGAAATAGTATTAGTAATATATAGTCTATAGTCTATAGTGATACATATTATGATGTATATATTGTTACTTATATAGTATAATAACAATATATATATATATTACATTATATACACTAGAACCGTTTAAGGCACGAACCCCCAACCAGGTTCCAACTCTCTCCCCCACCTCCGTCCGCCCAAAGCTACAGCTGTCGGACTCTGCAGGGCCGTGCAGCCAAATGTTCTGAGCGCTGCTGGCCACAAGGTCCTGGACCCCGTGCCACCACTGCCGGTTTGGTCCACAGAACAACCGCTGAAGCCAAGGAGGTCTTCCACAGATTTCGCGCATGATGCGCATGAGGTGGTCCACGGTCGATTCCGAGTCAGTAGCAATGTTTGCATCAAGTGTGATATGAGAGGTTGGAGGTGCCGCCACTTTTATGTACTATGGCTCAGCATCTTTATACTTTAGATCCATTTATGCCTTCTTCCACATGTCCCAGTCTCTGTGGGTTCCTTCGATGCCACGTGGAACGTGGCACAGCCCTGGTGGATGCCCCCGAGTCCTCAGATGTGATCCAGCCATCTTCGATCAAAGGGTTGCCATCCACTCCATGAACCCAGGCAGCACCTGCATCCGCCTCAAGATCACCGACCTGCAAAAGCGAAGTCAAATGTTTTCAGAGGTTGAAATGATGAAGGTTGTGCGGAAAGAAAATAATTGTTATGGTATTACTTGTTTAAAGCCCAGCCTTACTTAATTAAGTAAGGGAGAAAATTCGCTCCTAGCTAGGACGCAGGATAGCTCACGCACTATTCATTTGGTTCCTAGATTTTAAGGGAAACTTAATTTAATGCTTTAAAAATGTCAAGTCTGCCTTGTCTTCTCTTTTTGGGTAAGTCTTGGCATTTGTGTTGCGGCTCAGTTCTTGCCCCCGGAATTGAATTGTGCCATATGATCTCCATATAGCCGGTTTGTGTCTACATGAGAGGACGATCCGAGCTAAGCAAAGTCTCTTTCACCACGCTTGGTCAGGGGGTCAGGCCAATGAAGCGCCATCTAATAGACCCAACAGGGCCCCGATGCTAGAACCTTCAGGCAAAAACCTGCAACACCCGAATGAGTAGGATAAAATTGTATAATGCAATGCTAGGCTGCTAGGTGCACAGTTCGAGTCACCAAATGGAATGGGAAAGCGGACACCTTTTGTAAAAAACAAGAAACCACAAATTCAAGTTAAACAAATTCTTCCATGACGCACCTCTGGCGCAAAAATTGAAGTCGCCCTTGCCTGGCAGGTGTAGAGCCTCCCTCCCAAGCGCTCTTGCCACTCCAGCAAAGCCACAGAAGGCGCTTCGCGGGCCCTGTTCGCCGCGCCGGTCCCGCTCAGGAGAGATACCGCACAGCTTAACCCAGCCAGGCCTCCTGCTGTCTGCGACCACGTCCAAACAATTTCAACCACATCCAGCACTCTGTGTGAGTCTGGGAACAAAACTGAGTCTGGGGATTTGGGGATGATTTTGCGACGGCAAATGTCCGGGGAAGGTTCTCTGACAGAAACAACGAAGTGGTTGCTGCTCACATGCAATTGAAGTACTGTATCTGACATGGTACCCCACTAAATCTTGAAGCGCACTGCAAAAACGGCAAGTGTTCCTCCAACGATCAGAATGTCATAGTTGTCATCCGCTTCAACTGCCATGCCGCAATCTCGATTCAAATCATTGGCATGCAGCATGCGTTCGATACAGGCGTGTAAGGCGTGTATCGTGTAGAGTCATTTTTTGCATATTTTTGCTAGACTGAGTGTACGTACGTGTGCAATCTGCTTGATCTGTCCCAATGTTACAAGTATGTGTAACAAGGTAATGCTTATGTTGATCCATCGTGGTTCCCCACGAATCAAAATCTTTGTCTAGACATCGTGCATGACTCAATGACATGTGATTAATTTGCCCTGGACGGTCTCTGAAATCAGCAGAATGCAAAAGCTGCAAGGAACAAAAATGACATACGTATATATAGAACTCAAGCTACAACACAACTGAAACTGAAGACCTCACATAAACTTGAGAGAGGAGGGGGTGAACGAAAGGTAGCAGGCAATCACAAGTAACCCTGGTAGAAGTCCATGACGGCGTGAACCGGCGCAGGGTGGATTTGATCCAGGGGGGGCCCATTTCTTACAGGACCAAACTCAATGTACAATCCCAACTCCTGATTATAATACATTTTTGCTAAAGCAAGGAGAACTCAGGTAGCTCAAGCCACCTTTCGTGACTACACCATTCTCAAGTGCCAGTCTTCTTCTCACCTGGCCTTCGCCCTCGATTCCACCAGGAGGGGTGGATCCCTCTCGATCTTTCGCCGCAACATAGCCCCAAGACAGCTCCGAAGGTGCTGGGGCGTGTGACCTGTGTATCCGGATGGCATAGTCAATCGGAAGATCTCAGCTTTACAGCCAGCTGGTGCGGTAAAAAAAAGAAGAAGCAGCAGCAAGCCAGCAGCAGACCAGCAAGCCACAAGCAGCAACACCGGCAAGCCAGCAGCAGCAGAGCAGCAAGCAGAAGCAAGCAGCGGCGGCAGCAGCAGCAGCAGCAAAGCAGCAACAGAGCAACAACCCAGAAGTAGCAACACCGGCAAGGATCCGCACTCTTTCCGGAGCCGTTCCCATGATCAAGGTCAAGCTGAGTAGACCCCTGACAATAGTTTGGTCTCTGACTCATATGGTTCGATGCATCCAAAGCACCCAACGGTCTCTGTCTGATGGAAACAAGACATTTCTCCCGGTGCGGCAGGACCCAGCCGTGTAGCGGCGCGAATAAAGGCCGGATGTGCATGTAGGCTGAGCGGTGCCTAACTGGAAGAATTCGGAGGCTAACAGCAAAAGAAAATACACAAATGAGTCAAGAAATCAGGGTGTCAAACCAAATGAAACGTGATCTTATGCTTCAAGCAATGGTATATACCTAGTGCGAAGATTGCTGGAGAGAAACCAGCGAATCGAACAGTTCTTGTCCGATATGTGTTTGTGACACCAGAATATCTGCTGATATCTGCTGGCGAACGACTTTAGAAAATGATGCCAAACCACTACTATATGGATGATCGATGATAGTCGGTTGATTGGTAACTTGGGTTTCTTGCATGCGCACATCAAGCGCCAAGTGCAAATCTCACTTTCACGGCCACCATGCAGCCGGAACAACGACAATCTTGATTTGGAGCAACCCACGATTGGCATCAACACTGACGCATTAAAAGCAATCATGACCTATGACCTAGTGAACAACACAAGCGAGTGGAAACTAAAACATGGAGCTTTTTATCATCTGAATGCTTAGCGCACGGTTTCTTGAAACCGTGCCGGGCGTCAATTGCACTTCCTGCACCAAGGTGCTGCGTCCCAATGTCGAGGCTTGGAAGCAGCTGTTCGAACACAAACAAATTGGTGCTACTACTTCACTACGTCTGACGTCTGACAGCAAAAACGGGGAATGGCACAACGAAAAATCAAATAAAGGAATGGCCACCACATGATCATGAACCTTGAAAATTGCTGGAAACCACCATCACTCTGTTGTCTTGAGCGAATGAGGATTCGAATTACTCACAGCCTCAAACAGAGTGATCCAAAGGGTGAAAACGGTCGTAATTAGAAACCAAAACGAGCTGAAACGAGCTGAAACAAAAATCCTCATTGTTTGGCATTGGGCCTTGGGGCCTTGGAAGTCTGAACAGAGTGAGCACTCAAAAAGTCGTTGAACACAACCCTTTATGGAAAGAATGTGTGTACACTGCAACTAATGTCTAATGTTAACATATGTCTTCGAGGCATCGCGCATGAACAGTGATTGCCTTTGCTTTTGCGGCCCTTCGATCGACACAAAAACCGCGAGAGCGAATGTTGCACACTGTCCAAAAAAGTCACTGTCCGCTGGTCGCTGTGAAGGATTCCGAGGGAATTCGCTGAAACGGATGATTTTGAAGAAAAACAACCCATCCCATCCCATCTGTCTTTCTCTCGTCCTTCGATTTGGCTCGTTCAGCGTCTGCTTTGGACGCCGACTTTGGACGCCGAGTCGTTCCCCACACACCGAATCCGGCTCCCCGATCTCGAATCTCAGTCCAAGCGCCGGCGTTTCGTGGCATCGCAGCGACCTCTCTGACTCGCTTCGGAGGGTCTACATGAAGCACTTTACTTCCCAGAACATGTTATCGGCGTGTTATCGGTTTGGTCATGCCATGGTGACGATTGAGCAAACATCCTTGACAATGATACGTTGAATGTGAGATAATGTGAGATGGTGCAAGAAATACTGGACGCAAAGTTTGTTGAAGAGCCTTTTTGTGGCTGCTTGCAGTTTAGCGACTTCCCTCCTTAATGAGCAAGTCCATGGTGGTCTGTTTCCCTGCAAATCGACAATGTCGGAGAAGCAATCAGTGGCTGCAACACCACAATCAAGATTTTGCTACCCTCCCTCAAACAACTAAAACTTCATAGAAATGTTACTAAACTCAGATAGGGATCCCTTCTGCCTTTTGTAGCTTCAAGTCGCTGCCAAACAGACACCATATTGAACCCATTGTCTTATGAAGACTTTTCCCACGGGTATGATTGACATGCCCGTTGACATTACCAATAATGGTTCGTTCTACTCTTTTTTGGAGAATAATCTAGAAAATTGTAGTTCACAACCCCTGCTAGCAAATTCTGGCTCCAGAAACTAAACACAGAAATCAAACATCAAACAACTATTCGTTTCCAGTGGGAAGGACTTCAAGACTAAAAACATAGGGGGCACAACTTCAAGGTAGGTAGTTATGGTCCAAGTATTACTGTATCTTACAACCTTCCACATTATGAGCTTGGTGTGAGCAGGCGAAGGGAATGAAAATTATTCCAGCCAAGCAAAATTAAAGGCCTAGCTGTTCCTGGGCCGCCTGTCTGCCAAGGAAAAAGACAAAACCAGGCATTCACAGGCCGCGAAGCCTACGAAAAGAATGAAGGTCTTCAAAGTTGTGGCTGTTGGCATTGATGCCAATTGGGCAGGATCTGGCCAGCTGGGAAGAGCTTGCCACTAGAATCACTAGAAAATCGGACGCAGCACCTGGCTATGTGCTTCCTTGTGTCCGACAGGGAAGGACCTACTGGGTGGTCTGCAAATCTCTGCCTGGTCGAGAAAGCCTGCCAGAAAATGGAGAGGCCAAGATTGAGGAACGACCGGTTGTTGACCAGTTGAGGAGCAAATGCATTTGATCTTGGGGGCTGGCACACCAACATCAACATGCGAGGCCTGTAGGCGATGCTCGGGCAATCGGCATCTCACTGAGAAAATGTCTGTAGAGAATGGGTCTGGGACATACCCCTCCAGGCTCTGGAATTTGACTCTGGCGAAAACAGCCAGCCATTATCGAGAGAGAGAGAGAGAGACTTGGCATTGGAAATTGAGAAGGTACAACCACAACCCTTTTCTAGAGGAAATATCACATAAGGGTTGTTAGCAGCATTATCCACATTATGCCTGTATCGCTCAGTAGCGGCAAGCGAGCCTTCCTTAAGCTTTAGAGATATTGGGCCCAAGCTGTCCAGCCTTGAAGTTCTTGACCAGAAAAAAATAACCCAAACAATCCAAAGACTCCACTTTGGTTCATTTCGGTTGCGTTCAACTGAGGTCCAAGGCACTGAGCGGGCGAAAACTCCAAAAGCATTCGTCCTCTTTGGGAGACACCTCTGTCGGCTCCGGACAGGCTCAACAAAGCATGTCACAGTGTCTATGAAGACAAGAGGATGGTCCAAGGGACAACTGATGTTTTGATCGTCTCAAGAAAAGATTGCATGTGTTGGAGCAGAGAACATAAACACAGGAAATCACATGAAATTGTGGGTGTTGTTGTTGTTGCTGTGTGCGTGTGTGTGCGTAAAGAACATGGTGTGTTGAACCAAATGAGACCACCCCCTATAATATATATATATATATATACAATGTCCGGTTTGGTAGGGAATTGAACAAAACCCACTGGTTGCATGGTTCGACCCACTCCATCAAAGAAAATCTTCACATGGACACGGTGAAAATGTGGCTCTGGACAGGCGATCAACCTCAGACCCGAAGAAGCCCCCAACCTCCCCCGATCATCAATTGGAAAATCACACAACAACGTAGCCAAGAGACCCTGAATTTGCCCAGTGACTTGGGCCTCCAATCCCGATCTTATCCCATGCTTTCGAACAGGCTTACGTCACCAACCCACACTTTATCGTTTTCTCGACCCAACCTCACAGGCCACCAGTCGGCTGGACACCCACATCTTCGGATGCTCGGGGTCCTGGCTTCACGCAAACCAGTCCAGCACCCCACAGGTGGCGACGACGAAGTTTGGTTGAGGGTGCTCTCCAAATGGCTGGCATTTTTGATGACCATTACAGCAGCACAAAAGTCCTCTCGAGATCTTCATGTCGACGGCGCAAGCTCGGAAAAAATTGGTTGTCCCGAGCAGGTGCTTTCCTCGTGCACATTCTCGGACTTGGTCACTTTTTGTGGCAGGCGCAGGAAAACCCTGGTATATCCTCGTGATTTGGCTGTGGGAGGGGGAGATCGAAACCAATTGACTTCAATGTGCAAATTTTGTGGCAGGCCTTTTCGACTTGGTGGTAGTCTTGATTTCGTGGCACACGCGCGCCGAATCGTGAACTCTACAAAGTGCAGATTTCGCGACAGGTGTAGCACTTTTGTGAACCTCGAACTGCTGAGTTTGCAGCAAGCACATCACTTGGTGGCCTGCAAAGTGCAGATTTTGTGAACAGCTCTCATATGTGGCTGTCAGATGCTGCGTGCTCTCTCATATATATCATATGTGGTTGCTCTTTGTTGCTCTCATATTCGTGCTCTCATATGTGTGCTCATGTGGGCCGCTAAGCATCGCAAAGCAACACATGCAGCTCCAGCGTCGGCCATGTGCCTGTAACCAGATCGCTGCTCCAAGTTGCCGCCCGTGTGCTTTGTTCTGAACACTCTTTGGGGATGTTTGGAGTCTGCAATCTTTTTATGGAAAAAGGCCGGCCCCCCCCGGTGTCTTCCAAAAAGCTCTGAAGAAACGCCCGGATCCGGGCATTCCTTGATATTCCTCGTACCTGCACTTAAAATGCTGACTGTTTTGATTTGGCTGTTTCAGCTACAAGGTCCATGTCATTCCGGACCGCCGCTAAATGAACTCCTTGAACAGATTCCAAAAAGCCATGGAGTGGTGATCTGCATGGATCTGCTCCCATGAAATTAAGGGAACTTTGAGCTTTGACAGAGTCCCAACATGTCACAGCCACTAAAAAACTTCTGGGATGCATGCCTACAAACAAACTGGCCTTTTGGGCATCAAATGCAAGCATCAGAAGCATGTATTTATCATTGGGTCTTTATTGAGCCCTGTCGTCCATTCACGTTCGAGAAGGACGTTTTCCCCCATCCTGGGTCTTTGGCCCTCCATGTCCTTCTCTCCTGAAACTCCTCACGGCTGAAAGGGCAACCCTCAAGAAGCTCCAAGATGCTCTCATCACCTCGCTCTGGCGAACGAACGACCGTGTTGCTTGATGAGCCACATCTACTTTCCCTTTTGCATGGCTTTGACGGGTTCTCACCACTGTTGGTGGCTGTTGTTAGTATATATGGTATAACTATAATTAATGATGAATGTTGATATACCTCATGTTCGATACAGCATGAGACTTGCCGTTCTCCTGGCCTTCGTTACCCATTCATCCTTTTCGATGACACAAATCGCCAGGTTGCACTCCGCCAAGCGTTCCAGCAGCTTGACGTACCAGGCTGGAGGCTCCTTTCCACGCCTGAAAAGCTCCATAAAACCATTGAAAAATGCAACAAAAAGATCCAAAGAGACAAAGATTTGTATAACCCATTGGAACTTGGGCCACGAACCTTTACAAAAAAAAACAAAAAATTACTTTACTTCAAAATTCCCCACCCTCAAAGAATTGGTCTTCACAAGAGAAAAGCGGTTCGGCGCGAAAAGGATTCTTTATTGAAAACAAAACCACACATCGAATACTTACTTGTGAGGTTTCTGAACTTCGATATTTTAATGCCTGGCAACCCCGCATCCCTGCCAAGTCAACTTGTGGTGGATATGCTGTGGAACTGGTACTTGGGAGCACTCTGGTGAATGTGCTGGTGTCAAGGCTACGCTGGGCTACTCGGGGCCACTCTGGTGGAGGGTGTGCTGTGTTCTTTGGGTTGCTCTGAGCTACGCTGGGACCACTCTGGTGGATGTGCAGAAGTAGCGAGTCTACTGAAGTCCAAAGTTCTTAAAATCTAACAGCCCCACAGTCCTACGGGTGGGGAAAAAACTGCTTTGATAAGTACATTACAAGTCTACAACTATCCTGCGATCTCTTGGTAAATGTGCTGTGGACAAGCTAAGTTGAACTACTTAGAAATCAGTTTGTGAATGTGCTGTGGAAGAGCTAGGCAGCTAGGTTTAGCTACTCAGGGATCAGTTTGGTGAATGTGGTGTGAATACTCAGAGGTCATTTTGGCGAATGTGCTGTGGAAGTGCTACGTTGAATTACTCAGGGATTACTTTGGTGAACAGGGATCAGTTTGGCGAGCGTGCTGTGAAGGAGCCACTTTGGGCTACTCAGAGATCACCTTGGTGAACGTGCTGTGGAAAAGCTAGCTTGAAAACTCAGGGATCACTCTGGGGAACGTGCTGTGGAAGAGCTACTTTGGGCTACTCCGGGATCTCTTTGGTGAACATGCTGTGGAAGTGCTGCGTTGAACTACTCAGGGATCACTTTGGTGAGTGTGCTATGGAAGAACTGCTTTGGGCTGCTCAGGGATTACTTTGGCGAGTGTGGTGTGGAAGAGCTAAGTTGGGCTAGTCAGGGATTCCTTGGGTGAACGTGCTGTGAAAAAGCTACTTTGGGCTTCTCAAGGATTACTTTGGTCAACGTGCTGT